GTCCAGATGGGATTTTCAAAGTTGTTAATCAGAACATTCAACATACTTCCTGGGGAGTGCAAACGTGTTTTATGGCTGCATTCAAAATTTACAAATGGGAATGACCTACTTTAATTCATTCATACGGAGGGTTTTTAATGTCTCCTATGTATGACTTGTGAGCGATTAATCTTTACCATCAGCATCGCATGAAAACATGGTTAGTTACACGATCACGACTGTTTGACATTCGTTTACGTGAGATTATGTCTGAATTGCATTTAATTGTGTTCCCCACCTAGTCCATGGACTGATATAGGTGACACCCCAAAGGGGGTCAGGGTGGGAAAAATTGGGGAAAATTAGTTTTTGCTTATCACAAAATACATTCTAATAACTGCTTTCTATCAGGAACTAAAAATATTTAAGGTTTATTGATTAGTTACAGGTACAGGAACACATTTACTTTGAAAAATGCATTGCGTCTAAGGGAAAATCAAACTTTATAGCTGTTTTTCTACCCTTTCTAGTTGGCAATTGTTTTAAGAAGGTATTCTTGTTTCAATAGCTCTAAAATAATCAAAATTAATGTTACAGCTATACTTAAAGCATGAAAAGACTTTGAGATGGTTTATTGTAGTCTGAGTGCGGGGGATTTTTCATGCCGTGAACCCCCAAGAGGGGGGCAGGGGATAGAAGATTGGAAAATTGAGTTGTTTTTTTTTTTTTCACAAAATACATTCTAATAACTGCCCTTTGTCAGGAAAAATGAAAATATCTAACGTTTATTATTTAGTTAGAGGCACAGGAAGACTTTAAATTTGAAAAATGCATTGTGTCTAAGGGGGAAATCAAATTAGAAAGCTGTTTTTCTACACTGTCTAGTTGGCAGTTGGTTTAAGAACGTATTATTTCTTCACTTGCTCTAAAATGATCAAAATTAATGTCACAGCTATACTTAAAACATGATGGTTTATTCTCATTTGGCTTTTTATAACATTGAGTTACCTTTACTTATATTTATGTACCTTTATGCCGAATCACCATAGATTGTGTCCAGAAGACTCTCAATCTCAACTTCGTCTGAATCCTCCATTCAACTCAAATCTAAGTTCTTGCTGGATATTATGGCAGTCAACTCTTGTGGAAGGATGTTGCCTATGGTCCATTGACATTTCAGAGCATTTACTCCGTCTTTCAGTCACTTATTGCCCACAGGGTGAGCAACACTGGGGTGATTCTTGTCAGCATTGACCCAGATCAAGGCCTGGTGATTCACACGCTGTATGTGCGTGTATAGGGAGTCTCTGCAAGGTGAAAGGAGTCTCATCTCTACACCATCATAACTTGTCATAGTCTGTCATCCTTTGGGTTTTAACTTCTTCACAGAGATTTGGTAGCGAGCCTCATTTACATTATGTGTGACTTGGACAGAGGAGTCAACAAGTCTGTAACTATGTCATCAGAAAGTCTTATCTTGGAAAAAGCATTCACAAATTCAGGGTGAGATTCGAGAAGCTCAATGGGGAGAACTTTGCCGCATCTGACAAAGGCACTGGTGGTATCATGTCCTGTAAATGCATGATGGGCTGGCTGGACATTGCACAGATTGATGATACTTTGTACATCCAGAAATCTTCGTTTGTCACTAGTGCCTGTGTCAATTAGAACAGAAGTTTTCACCTTTTGAACGACCTTCAGAAGCAGAATCAACACATCTGTATCAGCTGATCATATCACAACTTGTGCAGCAGAAGGAAGCTGAGCATCAACATGCAAAACGTGAAGAATGATTCTAGTGTCCGCTTCGTCCTGTGATGAACACAAAGCATTCTCTGCAGTGACAGATACTGATTCGCCATCTGTTGTCATCAACCATTAATTAAAATAAAATATTTGAATCTTGGTAATGTTGAAAACAGCTGATAGACGAAGTGGTAGGTTGTCTGAGAAAGAAATCGTGAGTATTCAAAGTCAACATCAGAACATGTTTTGAAATGGAATGGAAAGAAAACTTCTGACATTGAGGAGTACCTGTCCGCGGTGTGTTTGGCAAGAATAGATTTAACATTCTAAGAGATATTACCCATGATTATAATGTTGGTCAACATCAACAAGTAAACAGTAGAACAATTCAAAGAGTTTTGCATCGGAATGGTGTTTTTCGTCTGGTTATTAGAAAGTGCCTTGTTGTGAAGGAAGTGAACAGAAGGAAACGACTTCACTGGTGTTTGGAAAGGAGAATTTGGACAGTACAAAATCAGTGGAAACAGGTGATAGTCAGTGATGAATCACAGGTAGTTATTGGTCAGAATGGAAGAGTTTTCGTTTGGAGAAGTGCGCATGAAGCCTATCGTCCCGAATGCATGATTCACTCGAAACAGGCCAGGTTATCAGTTATGATCTGGGGTTCTTTAACTTGGTACGGTGTTGGCAGCTTGTGTCGTGTTAATGGTAATATTAATGCTGTCAAGTATCGTGAAATACTTGAAGACAACCTCTGGCCCGTTATAGCTCAGCACTTCAACAACAAACCATATCGGTTTCAAGATGACAATGCCCCAGTGCATAGGGCACGAATTATTCAGGAATATTGTTGGCGTGACAATGCTGTAAATTGCATGACTTGGCTTGCACAGTCTCCCGATCTCAATATTATTGAAAATGTATGGCTACACATCAAAAGAACACTACAGCGACGATCACAAACTGTCCTGACCACTGACGAACTGTATGATGCCGTCCACGATGTCTGGACAAATATCACACTACACTGTGTTAGAAACTTATATGAATCAATTCCAAGATCGGATTATGGCCTGCATATGCTCCAAGGGGAACTTGACTAAGTACTGAGCTATGACATAATTCTTTTTTTGAAATATTGCTCTTTAAGTTATCATACGGTCTTGTGTTTACTTTCGCCATTTTGAAAAGTCGCGAATACTGTTGTCATCACGCTGTAGGTTTCTTGATTAAGAGAGTAAAAAGAGGTGGAACCAGTCTGCCATGTTCCCAGTGAATAAATGCACTCATTAGGAAGATGCTATCTGAATATTATGTCTGGTGACCATTTCTGATCTTCCAGTTCAGTGTATTGTGTGTAGTGTAAAAAGCAGTTTTAATTTGGGAGCATTGATGAAAATGCTGGTGCTCGACTTAAATAATAATTCCAAATCCTTTTATTTGTTTATGTTTTATGATTCAAACAATCTGCTCTTGGCAGAGATATTTTCTTGTGGATGTGAAAAGGGTTTCGTCATTTATATTTGTCTGTTGTTCAGTGCAGTTATCCATCTGAATGACTGTGGCCTGTAAATTATGAAATTTGGACATGGAAAACCAGTGATTGATATTATGAAGACACCAAATTAACCAAATCACCGAGTCTGACCAGACCCCTCAGGCTGCCTCCTTGACTTAGTATAGGTGATATATTCCAACATTCTTCCCCTTTCGCAAAGTTGATTATATAGAGTGAGTGAGTGAGTATGGTTTTACGCCGCTTTTAGCAATATTCCAGCAATATCACGGCGGGGGACACCAGAAATGGGCTTCACGCCATTGTGCCCATGTGGGGATTCGAACCGGGGTCTTCGGCGTGACGAGTGGGCGCTTTAACCTCCAGGCTACCCCACCACCCCGATTATATAGAGACTGACATGACATTACTATAACTATACTCTGTAACCATACTCGGTAACTAGGCCCTGTAACTATTACTATATGGTGTATGACTATGCTGTGTACTAGCTAATCCCTATGACTATGAATGTACTCTGTAACTATAACTGTACTCTATGACTATACTCTGTACCTATAGTCTGTAACTCTACTCTGTAACTATTAGTGGTGGTCCGATTAATTGAAATAATTGAAGATTGGTCGCAATGACTAAACGACCACGCAATGTTTTCTCATAATCGAACACAAACAATTCTGGAACACTTGTTTGCATTAACAATATTTTTCACAAGGTTGGTTTTGTCTGTTATATTTCATAAACACTACAAGCTCATTCCAAGTCAGGATTGAATTTTTCTTAAAGACTCCAGGAAATTTATGTTCCTAACATACTAGTCATCCTTTAAAGATTTTAAATTTGCACATGCATTTTGTGCAATTTGCAAAAAGACTCATAAGAACTACATGTTTTTTCTTTGGTTTTTGTACCGTAACAAACATAACCAGGAAACATAACCATTTGATAAATGATGCTAACCAATTATTTTCGATGATTGATCGGTTGTAATGAACCAATCATCAATTATGAGATTTTCACCAATTCCTAACACTAAGTAACAATATTTTTAACAATACTCTAGTGTAACTATAACTATACGCTATAGGTTTGGTTTGGTAGTTGTTTAATGCTGCACTTAGCAATATTCCAGCTATATGGCAGCAGTCTAAAAATAATCAAGTCTGGACCAGACAATCCAATGATCAACAGTATCAGCTTCAATCTACGCAATTGGGATACCACCAGATCCTGTTAGTCGCCTCTTATGACAAGCATGGGTTATGGAAGACCAATTCTAACCTGGATCTTCACGGGTCACTATACTCTATACCTATACCTTTACTCTGTAACTTTGCCATGTAACTTTCTTCTGTAACTATATTTTATAACTATGCTCAGGAACTATATTTTATTACCTATACTCTGTAACTATGGACCCGTGAAGATCCGGGGTAGAATAGGTCTTCAGCAACCCATGCTTGCCACAAAAGGCGACTATGCTTGTCGTAAGAGGTGACTAACGGGATCGGGTGGTCAGGCTCGCTGTCTTGGTTGACACATGTCATCGGTTCCCATTTGCACAGATCGATGTTCATGCTGTTGATCACTGGATTGTCTGGTCCAGACTCGATTATTTACAGACCACCGCCATATAGCTGGAATATTGCTGAGTGCGGCGTAAAACTAAACTCACTCACTCAATGTAACTATGTTTTATAACTATACTATGTAACTGTACTATAGTTAATGTGGCAAAATTGTTTTGTTTAATTTTCAGACATTAACAGTCTTGGACGAAACCCATCATGGGGTCACAGGAAAAGTATCAACCTTCTAGCAAAGACAAGGTTTCCGGTTTATCGCTGAAAATGGATGAACTGATAGGGAAGCTCGGCAGCCCAGGCCGTTTCCAAGTCATCATTTTCATACTTCTGTGCCTAAACTACTCTCCACTAGTTTTCAATCACGTAATAATGGCCTTTTTCGGGGCGAGAACCCCACACTCGTGTGACCCTTTGCGTGGGAGCAATGTCTACACACAAGGAGACCAGAACTTCACTGTTGTCGGGGAGGACGACTGGGCAGTGTCGAACCACGATATTTCTGGACAACAATGACAACATTACCCTGACCTGCGGCGCGGGAGACTGGACGTATGTGACGGAGGATCGCGAGACCAACATTGTCACAGAGGTAAGTGTGCGTGGTTTTACCGCTTTACGCAATATTCCAGCAATATCACAGTGAGAGAAACCATAAATGGGCTTCACACATTGTACCCATGTGGAGAATCAAATCCGGGTCTTTGGCATGACGAGCGACGGCTTTAACTACTAGGCTACCCCACCGACCCTCTAGGTGCCAACAGAATTTTACAGAACTTTTAAAATAGTATTCAGGATGAAAATTGTGTTTGGAAGTGTTTACATTTGAAAATTAAGTCCAGTATGGTGTTTCCAGCATCACATGATCCCTATTAAATAACCAGTCAGGACATTTTCAGTCACTGATAATGTTTCATGTGAAGCTGCAGCTGGAACATGATGATTTAAAATGACGGCCGTTGAATTTTTCATACATAAATTCTTCATAAAGTGTATCACATTACTATATTAATCTATATTAATCTAGATCACTGTTGAAATAGATATTGAATTTTCACAACTAGAAAAAACATCTGAAGTTTGAAAATCATGGGTGAGAAATATTCAGAATGGAAACTGCAGATGAGCATGTTCCGTAGACAGTGGCTTGTAACGCAAAATACAGGCATTAAGGTGTACATAATCACTAACTGGGGGGTTTTAGCACTGGCTATTACTCCGTGAATAAAACCATATCCCTTTATGAGTTCAATTCATTATTTGGATGTATTGATTTTTTTTCAGCAAGTTTGTTTTTCACTTGAACTCGTATACTATTAAACAAAACAAGGAATAAAAAAATGAATTAACATCCTCAAAAAAACTTGAAACTTGGCACCCAAATAGTTGGTAATAATTGTTAGGGGGCTAATTGTTTTCAGTGTTTTGTTGTGCCGTACACACAGTAACGACATGTTGGCTGTTTGAACATGATCGTTTACTGACATGAAACCAAACTCACTCACTCACTATAATGTCAGACTCCGGAACAAGTGTCAAGTTTCTAATTTGGTTGAGTATACAAGCCATGCAGTCATGGCTCTGCCTTGTGTGAGTTTGATGAGGTCCCTAAAGATACTGCGAACCCAAACATTAGATAATAATATTAGCACCAATGTTGTGATGGTTTTTTATTGTTTGTTTTTGAAGATAATAATAAATCAACTGCTGTCAAAAGACCATGGTATTCGTGAATAAATATTTGTATGTGTTACCAAACATTCATGTATTGTGTTTGCATGATAATTTATTCACACTAAATTGAACCCTGCATTAATGATTCTAAAATTTTATGGCTATTGGTAATTATAAGTCCATTTGCTGGAGCTGGAACAAGATAATATAAACCGACAGGCAACCGACAGGCAAGTGTGTCATACGACTTAAATGAAACAAGTGTAAAATTTTGTATAAATACATAATTTTGTATGAGTTCATATGACACACTTGCACGAGTGTAACAATTTCTTTATTATCCATTTTATTCATGCATATTGTGCAGTACAACATGGTAAGCAAGTGTGACGGCCCTCTTCATAGACGTCACGTTAAATTGTTTAATGACGTCACAGACTATGAAATACAGAAACAATGGTTACTAGGCAAAAGTGATATGTGCACTTATGATATATATGACACAGGTTATGGTTCACCATATGTGTAATAAATATATGTTGAGATCGAAATAGTGCTTAATTTGTGTGCTGTATCACGGTCATGGCGGCATGCCTAAATTATATAAATAATACCCACCACATTTTATTTTTTGGCAAATGTCAGTATTTTGACCAATCAACCATTCAAAACCTATTTTTTACTCCCTCAAACTATTTATTGGTGTCACTCAATCTCACAGTTTAACATGGACACGGCTGTTTTGAATGCCAAACTGCATGACAGTAAGTCTCATTTTGGATAACATATTTTCTGAGTTACCAGAAGATAGTGTCTGTTAAATCATATCAGTGTCACAGAACGGAACCACATTATGCTTTGTCAGCCAGCTTCTATGAAAAATAAGAATAATGATGTCACTGAAAATGTTCAAAATGATCAAACAAAAAGACCCCTGAAATTGGAAAATCCCAGCCCAAGCAATCCCAACCCACATGAAAAGAGGTGTGCATGCAGTATTGCTCAAATTGGGCCGCCCAGAAATATGATTCATAGCTGACTGACTGAGTTTGGTTTTACGCCGCTTTTAGCAATATTCCAGCAATATCACGGCGGGGGACACCAGAAATGGGCTTCACACATTGTACCCATGTGGGGATTCGAACCCGGGTCTTCGGCGTGACGAGCCAACGCTTTAACCACTAGACTACCCCACAGCCCCGATTCATAGCTGAAATGTGATTGGTGCCAAATTATATATGCTGCCCAATTTGTAAACACTTAGATCATGCAGTCGGCAAGGATGGTAAACCATAGCACTTTGTTACTGGCCAAGTGGTTTTCCACATTAAAAATTGGAAATACAGGTGGAAAGTGATGAACATTTAAGTTACTCTTAGTACTTAAAATTGTTGTGATTTTATAAGTTGAAGTTTTAAGTTTAACTGGATCATCAAAATGTATGTTCACTGCGTTGATAATGTGTCATATTGTTCAGGTAATCTAGGTTATTGTTTTGTAATATAATTATTCTATTGTCACAGTTAGGAAAAACATACATTTATGTTATTATGTTACGCAGAGCTTTGACAGAAAAAAATGTATATAAGGTAATTCACTATGAACCAAGAAATGTAATAAGTGAATGGCTGATAATGAGTCAAATTAACAAATAAGCAAGACTGTTTGGACTGCCATAATTCAGTTTCCAGTGGGTGGCCAATATATTTTCATTTTGAATGAGTGAGTGAGTTTAGTTTTACGCCACTCTCAGCAATATTCCAGCTATATGGCGGCGGTCTGTAAATAATTGAGTCTGGACCAGACAATCCTGTGATCAACAGCCTGAGTATCGATCTGCGCAATTGGGAACCGATGACGTGTCAACCAAGTCAGCGAGCCCGACCACCCGATCCCGTTAGTCGCCTCTTACGACAAGCATAGTCGCCTTTTGTGGCAAGTATGGGTTGCTGAAGACCTATTCTACCCCGGATCTTCACGGTTCTTTCATTTTGAACTGAACATGTGTCTTTTCAGTATTTGTTAGGTAATGTTGGTTCGAGGTTGCATACTGACTGGGTCGATAAATTGAGTGTAAGTAACTTATCTTTTGTTCTCACACATATCAGTGCTTTCATCAGCTAAGACAGAATTTTGGATATGCTCTCACTTCTGTAGTTATTTCATTGTCAGTAGATGCAGGCAGTGCTGTAATAGATTCACTTGTAGCCTGAACAAAATGGTGTTAGAACCATTACAACAAATCAATGCAATCCTGTTCCTGACTGGATCAATATATATTACGATCTGGCCAATGAAATCTGTGGTATGACACTGTCATATATTTTAGCTCCTAACAGGGTTTCCTATGGTACTGAGCTGCTCAGAATTTGAATTACAGTGTTTGATGGCTGTTCATTATTGTATTAAAATGATACACTACAAAGGACTTATTTTTTACTTTAAGGCCAGACCAATTTTATTTCTTGTTTTACGGATCCGCCTGTTGTATTTTTTCAAGAATAAGAAAAAAAATATAAATGAATTTTCCCCGCTAACAAAATAAAATCCTTATGTTTTTATGGGCCAAAAATGTAAACTTACAAGAAAATTGTTTTTAGAATGTTGTTTGCCCCATATGCACTTCATAAATTGCCAAAACTAAAATACTTTGAGACTCCTGCCTTTAGGTTTTCTGAGGACAAAAATCCGTAAAACAAGAAATAAATTGGTCTGGCCTAAATTATGATATGAAAAATAAGATGCCATGCTTAGCTTTTCTGTAAGTCAATATTCTGACTATTTAAACCATCCGTCAAACTGAAATTTGATGATCAGTGAAATTCTATAGCTCTTTGAATGTTAGATACAGGCAAATTCTGTCTATAACTGGATTATATTGTGTAGGCGGAATTACCTGTCCTGTTGTTGTGGAATGTGGCGTATTAAACAAACACATACATATTACTAAACTGAAAACAGTCATTAGAGGTACCTCATTTTGCAGTAAGATCGGTGAAGATCCAGGTTAGAATTGGTCTTCAGTAACCCATGTTTGTCGTAAGAGGCGACTAATGGGATTGGGTGGCCAGGCTGGCTGACTTGGTTGACATATTGTATCCCAATAGCGTAAATTGATGCTCATGCTGTTGATCACTGGATTGTTTGGTCTTGATTATTTACAAACCATATAACTGGCTGGAATATTGCAGTGTGCAGCGTTCAAAACCAAACAAATATAAACAAACAGTACCTTCTTGTTGTAGCTGATTTCTGAGTGAGGCTTAAAGCAACAAACACACCGCCGTGTGTGCTTATCACTTTAGAGCAGAGTGAATGAATGAACCTTCATAAACCTATGCTTGTCGTGGCAAGAGGCAACTAACGGGATCGAGTGGTCAGGCTCGCTGACTTGGTTGACGCATGTCATCGGTTCCCAATTGCGCAGATCGATGCTCATGCTGTTGATCACTGGATTGTCTGGTCCAGACTCGATTATTTACAGACTTCTGCCATATAGTTGTAATATTGCTGAGTGCGGCGTAAAGCGAAACTCACTCACTATTAATATTTAAATGTACATAATAGCTCTCTCTCTCTCTCTCTCTCTCAGTCTACAAGTTTTTCAGGAGACACTTTTTGGAGCTAGGTGAAGGTCCGGGTTAGAATTGATGTTCGGTAACCCATGCTTGTCGTAAGAGGCAACTAACGGGATCAGGCTCACTGGTTTGGTTGACACATGTCATCGGTTCCCAATTGCGCAGATCGGTGCTCATGCTGTTGATCACTGGATTGTCTGGCCCAGACTTGATTATTTACAGACCTCCGCCATATAGCTGGAATATTGCTGAGTGCGGTGTAAAACTAAACTCATTCACTCACTTTAGAGCAGATCAAATCGAGTTCATGAATGTTTGCTATTATTAACATGAATTATCTCCTTTGACCAGTGGGATCTTGTGTGCGACAACAGTTACCTGCGACCACTAGCGACGACAATTTACTTCTGTGGTGTGATGGTTGGTGGTCTGTTATTTGGATACCTCTCGGACAAGTTTGGTCGACGTCCCGTCATGCTTGTCACGCTGTTTGTGCCGGTGGTTCTCGGTGTCGGTATCTTCTTCGTGCCATCTTACACCTGGTTTGTGGTGCTCAGGTTCATTGAAGGCGTGTTTCTGCAGGTAAGTGGGGGAACAGACAGCATGTGACTCAATGGTGACAATCACAATCATCATCAATATCTTAAATATATCAAACATAATTTACAGTTATATCCAGCAAATCCAGTGATTCACTTATTTTGTTTTTCTTACTTTATCGAGTTATGTGTAAAACCCTCATTCACTCTTTGTATCGTTGTGTTCCCTGGAATGCAGATGATCAGCTGTGTGTCAAACTCACTCTCCCACTCACTCATCCTTTGTATCCTTGTGTTTCAGGGTATGCAGATATCCAGCAATGTTTTAACTCACTCACTCACTGTGTGCATTCTTGTGTTCCAGGGTATGTAGATATCTACCTATGTATTAAACTCACTCACTCGGCCTCTGTATCCCTATGTTCCTGGGTCTGCAGATATCCAGCTATGTGTTAACTCACTCACTCACTCACTCACTTGGTGCATTCTTGTGTTCCAGGGTATGTAGATATCTACCTATGTGTTAAACTCACTTACTCACTATCTGTATCCCTATGTTCCAGGGTCTGCAGATATCTCCATATGTGATAAACTCACTCACTCACTCACTCTGTGAATTTGTGTTCCAGGGTCTGCAGATATCCAGTTATGTGTTAACTCACTCACTCACCCTATGTCTCCTTGTGTTCCAGGGTCTGCATATAACCAGTTATGTGGTAACTGACTGACTCACCCTCTCTCTCCTTGTGTTCCAGGGTCTGCAGATATCCAGCTATGGGTTAACTCACTCACTCACTCACTCTGTCTCCTTGTGTTCCAGGGTCTGCATATATCCAGTTATGTGGTAACTGACTGACTCACCCTCTCTCTCTCCTTGTGTTCCAGGGTCTGCAGATATCCAGCTATGTGTTAACTCACTCACTCACTCACTCTGTGTGCTTGTGTTCCAGGGTCTGCATATATCCAGTTATGTGGTAACTGACTGACTCACCCTCTCTCTCCTTGTGTTCCAGGGTCTGCATATATCCAGTTATGTGTTAACTCACTCACTCACTCACTCTGTGTGCTTGTGTTCCAGGGTCTGCATATACCCAGTTATGTGGTAACTGACTGACTCACCCTCTCTCTCCTTGTGTTCCAGGGTCTGCAGATATCCAGCTATGGGTTAACTCACTCACTCACTCGCTCTGTCTCCTTGTGTTCCAGGGTCTGCATATATCCAGTTATGTGGTAACTGACTGACTCACCCTCTCTCTCTCCTTGTGTTCCAGGGTCTGCAGATATCCAGCTATGTGTTAACTCACTCACTCACTCACTCTGTGTGCTTGTGTTCCAGGGTCTGCATATATCCAGTTATGTGGTAACTGACTGACTCACCCTCTCTCCTTGTGTTCCAGGGTCTGCAGATATCCAGCTATGTGTTAACTCACTCACTCACTCACTCTGTGTGCTTGTGTTCCAGGGTCTGCATATATCCAGTTATGTGGTAACTGACTGACTCACTCACTCTGTGTGCTTGTGTTCCAGGGTCTGCATATATCCAGTTATGTGGTAACTGACTGACTCACCCTCTCTCTCTCCTTGTGTTCCAGGGTCTGCAGATATCCAGCTATGTGTTAACTCACTCACTCACTCACTCTGTGTGCTTGTGTTCCAGGGTCTGCATATATCCAGTTATGTGGTAACTGACTGACTCACCCTCTCTCTCCTTGTGTTCCAGGGTCTGCAGATATCCAGCTATGTGTTAACTCACTCACTCACTCACTCTGTGTGCTTGTGTTCCAGGGTCTGCATATATCCAGTTATGTGGTAACTGACTGACTCACCCTCTCTCCTTGTGTTCCAGGGTCTGCAGATATCCAGCTATGTGTTAACTCACTCACTCACTCACTCTGTGTGCTTGTGTTCCAGGGTCTGCATATATCCAGTTATGTGGTAACTGACTGACTCACCCTCTCTCTCCTTGTGTTCCAGGGTCTGCAGATATCCAGCTATGTGTTAACTCACTCACTCACTCACTCTGTGTGCTTGTGTTCCAGGGTCTGCATATATCCAGTTATGTGGTAACTGACTGACTCACTCTCTCTCCTTGTGTTCCAGGGTCTGCAGATATCCAGCTATGTGTTAACTCACTCCTCCCACTCACTCTGTGTGCTTGTGTTCCAGGGTCTGCATATATCCAGTTATGTGGTAACTCACTCACTCACTCACTCTGTGTGCTTGTGTTCCAGGGTCTGCATATATCCAGTTATGTGGTAACTGACTGACTCACCCTCTCTCTCCTTGTGTTCCAGGGTCTGCATATATCCAGTTATGTGGTAACTGACTGACTCACCCTCTCTCCTTGTGTTCCAGGGTCTGCATATATCCAGTTATGTGGTAACTGACTGACTCACCCTCTCTCTTTGTGTTCCAGGGTCTGCATATATCCAGTTATGTGGTAACTGGACTGACTCACCCTCTCTCCTTGTGTTCCAGGGTCTGCAGATATCCAGCTATGTGTTAACTCACTCACTCACTCACTCTGTGTGCTTGTGTTCCAGGGACTGCATATATCCAGTTATGTGGTAACTGACTGACTCACCCTCTCTCTCCTTGTGTTCCAGGGTCTGCATATATCCAGTTATGTGGTAACTGACTGACTCACCCTCTCTCTCCTTGTGTTCCAGGGTCTGCATATATCCAGTTATGTGGTAACTGACTGACTCACCCTCTCTCTCCTTGTGTTCCAGGGTCTGCAGATATCCAGCTATGTGTTAACTCACTCACTCACTCACTCTGTGTGCTTGTGTTCCAGGGTCTGCATATATCCAGTTATGTGGTAACTGACTGACTCACCCTCTCTCTCCTTGTGTTCCAGGGTCTGCAGATATCCAGCTATGTGTTAACTCACTCACTCACTCACTCTGTGTGCTTGTGTTCCAGGGTCTGCATATATCCAGTTATGTGGTAACTCACTCACTCACTCACTCTGTGTGCTTGTGTTCCAGGGTCTGCATATATCCAGTTATGTGGTAACTGACTGACTCACCCTCTCTCTCCTTGTGTTCCAGGGTCTGCAGATATCCAGCTATGTGTTAACTCACTCACTCACTCACTCTGTGTGCTTGTGTTCCAGGGACTGCATATATCCAGTTATGTGGTAACTGACTGACTCACCCTCTCTCTCCTTGTGTTCCAGGGTCTGCATATATCCAGTTATGTGGTAACTGACTGACTCACCCTCTCTCTCCTTGTGTTCCAGGGTCTGCATATATCCAGTTATGTGGTAACTGACTGACTCACCCTCTCTCTCCTTGTGTTCCAGGGTCTGCATATATCCAGCTATGTGTTAACTCACTCACTCACTCACTCTGTGTGCTTGTGTTCCAGGGTCTGCATATATCCAGTTATGTGGTAACTGACTGACTCACCCTCTCTCTCCTTGTGTTCCAGGGTCTGCAGATATCCAGCTATGTGTTAACTCACTCACTCACTCACTCTGTGTGCTTGTGTTCCAGGGACTGCATATATCCAGTTATGTGGTAACTGACTGACTCACCCTCTCTCTCCTTGTGTTCCAGGGTCTGCATATATCCAGTTATGTGGTAACTGACTGACTCACCCTCTCTCTCCTTGTGTTCCAGGGTCTGCATATATCCAGTTATGTGGTAACTGACTGACTCACCCTCTCTCTCCTTGTGTTCCAGGGTCTGCAGATATCCAGCTATGTGTTAACTCACTCACTCACTCACTCTGTGTGCTTGTGTTCCAGGGTCTGCATATATCCAGTTATGTGGTAACTGACTGACTCACCCTCTCTCTCCTTGTGTTCCAGGGTCTGCAGATATCCAGCTATGTGTTCACTCACTCACTCACTTTGTGTACCTTGCGTTCCAGGGTCTTCAGATATCCAGCTATGTGTTGGTAGCTGAGTTGTTTCTACCAGCCTACCGCCCAATAGCTGGTGGTATCATTGAATGTTTTTGGGGTGCAAGCGTCATGGCCCTAGCAGTGATTGCCTTTCTTATCCGTGACTGGCGATACATACAGCTTGCAATCTGTTTGCCGAGTGTCCTGGCTGTATTCTATATATGGTGAGTCTAAAATTATATGTGGTGAAAGTACTAACAGGCATTAAAAATGGCAGGATCCTTTTGTTAATTCAAAAGTGAAGGAGTTTGATTACAGACAATGGTTACTCTATTCTCTTCCCACAGAGGTTACTTAAATCATATCTTCCTATGAACCTCTGTTCTAATACGACCCTTTCATGGTGCGAGTGTTCAGGATTCGTGATTGGTTGCAATCAGATTTAGTTTGGCAAGCAGCTATGTTGTTTCCAAAGTGATCGTTTGCAAAGCCTCAGTAATATCCGGTAATCTCTGTAATATCCTTCGTGAAAACTAGAACCTGCGTGATGCACAAACCTTTCTTCAAGAGAGAACTCAGTCTTGTAATAGCGGATCAATGGCGTCTCCATCGCCCTCGTTGACAACGGACAAGCTAGCCATTAGATGTCTTGTGTGTCTCATCAACACTAGTGCCCGGCAAAGGAGGGATATTTGTGGCCCCACATTTGCTTGTATTTGTCAAGATGGATTTAAGCTGATGTAGCACATGTTCTGATTGGATAGACAGAAGCGAGATAATTCATGTTGCGATATTTTGCCACTAGGGGAATTTATGAGAACCGGGTTTCTAGTACTTTTGTTGGATGGAGTCCCATCTGGGAGCATACCAGGTGTTTGGTTTAGTTCTTTGTTAATTGTCCATAGTGTTCACAGTATAACAATTTCTCAAGTTTAATTCACCCGTGAAGGTCCGGGTTGGAATGAACCTTCAGTAACCCATGCTTGTCGTAAGAGGCAACTAACGGGATCGGGTGGTCAGGCTCACTGACTTGGTTGATACATGTCATCGGTTCCCAATTGCGCAGATCGATGGTCATGATGTTGATCACTGGATTGTCTCGTCCAGACTCGAATATTTACAGACCACCGCCATATAGCTGGAATATTGCTGAGTGCGGCATAACACTAAATTCACTAACTCAAGTTTAATACTTTGTAAATCGTCAGTAGTTGTTCACAGTTAAACAAATTATCAGGTTTAGTTCCTTGTTTAGTTCAAACTAACTCTGCAAGTATTGAGTTCCGCCTGACAACACTTTCAGTATAATGCCTGAGTCTCTCCGCTGGATGGTGATGTACGGGAAACTAGATGCCGCTGAGAAGCAGGTGGAGAAGGTGGCCAAGTTCAACAAGAAGGAATTCCCCACCGAGAGTTGGATGTCTGTGAGGGCCATCGCAGAGGGCATGCAGGAGACTCAAACCCAGAAATATACATTCCTTACTCTCCTGAAAACTCCTCAGCTGAGAAAAAGAAGTCTAATTCTGTTCTATCAATGGTAGGTATTGCTTGTCCCTCTTTATCTGAAGATGAATTTGCTTGCAATCAAATGATGAAGTATATGAGATGATCACCCGGTTGTAGTCAACAGTTTTAACTTGATAACAATAGAAGAATAAACATGGAAACATGGTCTAAGCAATAAACAAGAACTTGATATCAATTAAGAATGGTTTAGGGTCTAAGCAATAAACCAGAAGTTGATATCAATTCTGATGCTGAGGGGCAGTGTGGTAGCCTAGTGGTTAATGAGTTCACTTGTCATGCTGAAGACCCGGGTTTCATGCCCTACATGAGTACAATGTGTGAAGGACATTTCTGGTGTCCCCCGCTGTGATATTGCTGGAATTTTGCTGAAAGCAGCGCAAAACCATACTCACTCACTCTCTCTAGAATTCTGATCAAGCAATAGGCAATGAAATGACTGATTATTTTTATACCATAGACATACATTCGTGAAATCTTTCTTTGAACACAAAAGTATGAATGATATATATTTGGCCATAATTAATGTTTTCACAAAATGAACGCAATATGGTGTACCTGTGCAGTCACTTGTCTTTACAACTCTTCAGTAATGTGCAGAGTTGCCCCCCTTGACTGCCACATTCTGAAGATTTTTATCCCAAATTTGTCTCAGTTATGATGCTAACACCACCATACATGTGTTTCCTCAAACTGGTAAGTGTCTGAGACCTCCATCACTTGAGTGAGTGAGTGAGTGAGTGACATAACACTCAGCAATATTTCAGCTACATGGCGGCTGTCTGTAATAATCGAGTCTGGGCCAGACAATCCAGTGATCAACATCATGTGCATTTGGGATACGATGACATCAACCAAGTCAACAAGCCTGATCACCCAATCCCGTTAGTCACCTCTTACGACAAGCATGGGTTACTGAAGACCAATTCTAACCCGGATCTTCACAGGTCCCATCACTTTGAGACTTTCTCACACAAATCCTCTAAGTGAAATTTATGGCATGCTATTTTCATTTGAAACAAGGGGCGGTGGGGTAGCCTGGTGATTAAAGCATTCGCCTGTCACGCCGAATACCCAGGTTTGAATCCCCACATTGGTACAATGTGTGTGAAGCCCATTTCTGGTGTCCTCCGCTCCTAGTATGGTGATCTACCTTCAGTTGTTGGCGATCTATAGCCCATTTTTATATTGTGTTGTCCCCTATAGTTAAAATGTTTTAGATTCAATTACTAGTTTTACATATATATCTGTGATACTCTAGTTGCTTTACTGTCCTTTTATAATCTCTCTCTATATTCTATTTCAATGTCAAGTGTTCTCGACACGATATGGCTAAAATATTGCCGATGCGACGTTAAATAATAACTCACTCACTCACTCTGGTGTCCTCTGCCGTGATATTGCTGGAATATTGCTAAAAGGGATGTTAATCTAAACTCACTCATTCATTTCAATCAAATGGCATAATATGTTTGTATCATATTTTGATAGGACTTGTATCTATATATTTCACCAGTTTGAATATTTAGGATGTTATGGATACCATTAAGTGAGTTTTCTAGAAAATGACCTGACACAAGACCCTGTTACTTAAAAAATTCTATCGAGACTTTGAAAACTTACTGAATTCAACCCGTGAAGATCCAGGTTAGAATTGATCTTCAGTGATCTATGCTTGTCGAAACGGGACTAACGGGATTGGGTAGTCATCCTTGCTAGCCAGCATCAATAGGTGCATTCAGTAAATTTATTAGCGAGATGCATTTTTCTAATGTTGTAGGTTGGCCGTGTCAGTAGGCTATTATGGACTGACTCTACAGATCACGTCTCTGAAAGGCAACAAGTACATCATCTTCCTCATCGGAGCAAGTGTGGAGATGGCTGCCTACCTGCTTGACATTGTCATCATGAAGTTGTAAGTAAACATTGACATCAGTTACAACAAAACCCTCCTTTCCTTACGATTTGTACGAGCAGTGGGATAGCCTAGTGGTTAAAGCGTTCAGTCATCACGCTAAAGGCCTGAGTTCCAATTCCCCACATGGATATAATGTGTGAAGCCCATTTTTTGGTGTCCCCCGCCGTGATATTACTGGAATATTGCTGAAAACGGCATAAAACTAAACTCACTCACTCACTTACATTTAGTTCTTGCGGGGAATACAGGTCAGAAATTGTCCTCAGGAAGCTATATTTCAATTCTTTATAAGTGTATGGAATATATTTTAGTAATATAACTATATTTTGTTGTTCTATTGCTTCTGATTATTCTGGTATTCAGTAACCATGACAACATCTGTGATTGCCTGTTTCAGTTGTAAGCGTAGATATTCTGTTGTGATCTTTGCCTTCCTGGCTGCTGTGACCTGCATTGTTGCTGGGGCTCTTCCATCAGGAAAAACAGGTAAGGATTTCTCATATTCGAGTCATAAACTAGTTCCACATAATTAATTATTTGTTTGTACACTGAAAATAGGCATCATGGGAAAACAATCTGTGATATCATAAGTAGTTACCATTGCTGTATACAATACATAATGATCCAATAAACCAACAAATAGAACTGTGAGACATTTAGTATGTGTTTTTAGGACAGGAATGCCTTGATGGAGTTCAAAAATGGAAACAGTGTTACAGAGTTATGGCCCTTGTCATGTGTTTCTTGACTTAGTGCATGGTATCCCCAATGGAGACAGATTATCTCAGAAACCACTATAGATAGGGAAACTACATGTGGTGTGTGCTTTTAGGACATGAATGCCTTGATGGCAGGCTTGGCTGTTGTGGCTTGATGCTGTGGTTAAAAGAAGATATGTAGATTTAGCTACAAGTTGAAATAACATGTTCTAGCTCCCAGCAGCTATGTTGTGTTTCAGGTTCAGGTGTGATCTAGACTACCAGTTGTCAGAATTTCATTTTCGTGCCTGAGAGGGTTAGATGGCTGACTTTGTGCCTGACTCTGAGAGACAGAGGGTTTAAATCCCGGACATGACTCAATCCATGAAAAGTACTAATATCTGAACTTTACTGAGAAAGTGTTATCCAAAATGTAATATGTGTTACATGCAAAACAAATATTTTTAACTACTTTAGGATTAAATTTGAGGGTTGTGAGGTGGGGTATTTTTTGTGTATTTCACAATATTTTGGAGTATATTCTTCATCCTTCATCATGTAAAAAGAAACTAGGAAGCAGATAGCTATTTGACATCCATAACATTTCCCTCCTCTTCATCACCTCTGTCTCACTTCTAATGCCAACTGTGGAGATCCGAGTTAGAATTGGTCTTCAGCAAGATGTGCTTGTCGTAAGAGGCTACTAATGGGATTGGGTGGTCAGGCTCACTGACTAGTTAACACATGTTATCCTATCCCAATTGCTTAGGTCAATGCTGATGCTGTTGATCACTGGATTATCTGGTCCAGACTTGTTTATTTACAGACCACTCAGCTGTAATATTGCTGAGTGCGGCGTTAAACAACAAACAAACAAGCAAACAAAATCTAAATGCCATTCAAACATTTGAATTAACAACTGTCTTTTTCAAAGACTATCCTACTTCTATAATATATAAAGACTGACCCTAATAATATTGAACTTCCTGTGTACTTTGAACTTACTGTGTAATCCAAATATTGTAGACTGTGTTAAATGAGACCAGAATCTTGCATCTCCACAAAACAGAAGCTTTGTGAGTGACTGAACTTACTCACTCACTTGTTGTACTATGTACACGGTAAATGGTATTATCATCAGTTCATCATGAATAGCCATTTTAAATGTGTATGTACTGACCTGGCTGTTTATCTGATCAGCTTCAGACTATCATCAAACTCTGTCCACTGGATTTGCCATCGTTGGCAGGTTTTCAGTAGGAGCATTGTTCAGCTTGTACTTCCTGTACACATCGGAGCTGTATCCCACTGTTATCAGGTATGTTATCTGAGAGCTGTATCCCACTGTTATCAGGTATGTTATCTGAGTGCTGTATCCCACTGTTATCAGGTAGTTATCTGAGAGCTGTATCCCACTGTTATCAGGTATGTTAGCTAAGAGCTGCATCCCACTGTTATCAGGTAGTTATCAAAGAGCTGTATCCCACTGTTATCAGGTAGAAGTTATCTAAGAGCTGTATCCCACTGTTATCATGTATAAGTTATCTAAGAGCTGTATCCCACTGTTATCAGGTATAAGTTATCTGAGAGCTGTATCCCACTGTTATCATGTATAAGTTATCTAAGAGCTGTATCCCACTGTTATCAGGTATAAGTTATCTGAGAGCTGTATCCCACTGTTATCATGTATAAGTTATCTAAGAGCTGTATCCCACTGTTATCAGGTAGAAGTTATCTAAGAGCTGTATCCCACTGTTATCATGTATAAGTTATCTAAGAGCTGTATCCCACTGTTATCAGGTAGAAGTTATCTAAGAGCTGTATCCCACTGTTATCATGTATAAGTTATCTAAGAGCTGTATCCCACTGTTATCATGTATAAGTTATCTAAGAGCTGTATCCCACTGTTATCATGTATAAGTTATCTAAGAGCTGTATCCCACTGTTATCAGGTATAAGTTATCTGAGAGCTGTATCCCACTGTTATCATGTATAAGTTATCTAAGAGCTGTATCCCACTGTTATCAGGTAGAAGTTATCTAAGAGCTGTATCCCACTGTTATCAGGTATAAGTTATCTGAGAGCTGTATCCCACTGTTATCATGTATAAGTTATCTAAGAGCTGTATCCCACTGTTATCAGGTAGAAGTTATCTAAGATCTGTATCCACTGTTATCTGTTATCTATGTATGCCACTGTTAACAGCTCTCAGTTATCTAAGAACTGTATCCCACTGTTATCATGTATAAGTTATCTGAGAGCTGTATCCCACTGTTATCATGTATAAGTTATCTAAGAGCTGTATCCCACTGTTATCAGGTAGAAGTTATCTAAGAGCTGTATCCCACTGTTATCAGGTAGAAGTTATCTAAGAGCTGTATCCCACTGTTATCATGTATAGTTATCTAAGAGCTGTATCCCACTGTTATCAGGTATATCTAAGTTATCTGAGAGCTGTATCCCACTGTTATCAGGTATAAGTTATCTAAGAGCTGTATCCCACTGTTATCAGGTATAAGTTATCTAAGAGCTGTATCCCACTGTTATCAGGTATAAGTTATCTAAGAGCTGTATCCCACTGTTATCAGGTATAAGTTATCTAAGAGCTGTATCCCACTGTTATCAGGTATAAGTTATCTAAGAGCTGTATCCCACTGTTATCAGGTAGAAGTTATCTGAGAGCTGAATCCCACTGTTATCCTTTATGCATTATAAGGGACAACTATCCCATAGTTATCAGGTACCGGTATGTTATCTGAGAGCTGTATCCCACTGTTATCCTTTTGTGCCTTCTAAGGCACAACCGCATCCCATTGTTATTAGGTATGAATTATGTAAGACCTGTATTCCATCGTTACGAGATATAAGTTATCTAAGAGCTATATCCCACTGTTTTCAGGTATGTTATCTAAGAAATGTATCCCACTGTTATCAGTTATCTAAGAACTGTATGCCACTGTTAACAGCTCTCAGTTATCCAAGAACTGTATCCTACCATTATCAGGAACATGCTATATCCCACTGTCTTTACATATGTTAGTTATCTTTAACCAATGGTTTTCAAGTAGTTTTTCGGAGTTCCACTAAGGAGTATAAAACAATCAAGTAGTTTTTCACGTTTTTCAATATATATTCTTAATTAGCCTTCTTTGTCTTGAGGGGCGGAAGGGTAGCCTTATGGTTAATGTGTCCTCTCATCACGCTGCAGACCCTGGTTCTATTCTCCACATGGGCACAATGTGTGAAGCCTATTTCTGGTGTCCCCTGCCATGATATTGCTGGAATATTGCTAAAAGCGGCAATTAACCGTACTCACTCACTAACTCACTTCTTTGTCTTGCAGAAACATTGGAATGGGAACCTGTGCTTTCTGGACCAGACTTGGGGGTGTCATTGCCCCACAAATAAACAGCCTGGTAAGTATGACATACCTCAAGCTAACAAGTATCCCTGCATGATTATGTAGTTTGTGAAACGGTTGATATTGCAAACAGTTGTAACCATTCTGGGACATATGATGACATTTGCTCACCTGCTCCACCTTACTGCAGATAGCAGAACCACCTACCACAATAGGGGCGATTGGGTAGCGTAGCCTAGTAGTTAAAGTGTTTGCTCGTCACGCTGAAGACCCGGGTTTGATTCCTCACATGTGTACAATGTGTAAATCCCATTTCTGGCCTGGTGTTCCTGCCATGATATTGCTGGAATATTGCTAAAAGCGGCATAAAACTAAATTCACTCACTCACTCACCTACCAAAATGCATCACTCTTAGTATACATAGAGCATGTGAGCTATGGTGTAGGGACACTTTCTGTCCTTTGCAGGGAGGGGTGCTGTACCCTTTGGTTAAAACCTTTCCTCTGTGTGAATCCCATTTCTGGTGTCCCTGCCATGATGTATTGGGAATATTGGTAAACGGCATAACTGTAACCTGCATTGTTGCTGAGGTTCTTCCATCAGGAGTATATGCTGGAATATTGCTAAATGGCATAAAACCCAGCTCGCTCACTGACTCTTTTGCAGGGACACTTCACCTCGGGAGTCGGCGCCAGTGATAGTGTTTGGCGTGATGATGGCCATTTCCAGCCTCTTGGCCATCATGCTGCCAGAAACCCACCAACAGAAGCTGCCAGACACCATAGACGACGTAGAGGGACGGAAGATGAATGGTGCTCAAGTAACCGAGATGGTGCACGATAAGGAACTGCTGAAACAAGGGAACCAGGAGAAAGATGGTGCTGCCTCAACTAGACTATAGTCCATCTTGTGGGAGGGAAACTTGTACATTAACAGCGGACATCAAAAGAGATGTAGTGCCTATCTAGCTTATCCTTCATCTTGTGGAGGAAAGCATGTTTTAGATGAAGTCACTTCATCGAGGTAGAAGAAAGATGGCAGTAGTTCAGGAAGTCTGAAGCTGCTATACAAATACTAAACTTAGGCCAAATTAAAAAAATGTTATGGTTCCAATTACACCTCTTTACAATTATGGTAGTTAGGTAGGATTTTGTTTTTACATTGTTTTTTAGAAGTAAAGTACAAACTAATAACAAATTTATCAAAGTGTAATTGTTTATATCATGTCGACTTTTTCTATCAGAATGACTGATGTCTGTCGGTGCCGGGAAAAAACAATGGTATCTCAAAGCTTATTTTATTCATACTGCTTAAAAAATAGGGTCGGCACCAGAATTCAAGGGTCGGACAGGTAATGGGAACCACAACATTCTTTTTTAGGCCTTATTAAAAATTCAGAGCAATATTTTATGTTGTCAAATATTTAATTTTAATATTACTCTAATCCACTCCACCATAGCTGTATCAATATCGTGAAAACAACATCCCAAATGATGGTTTGTTTTTCTGAATGATGTTCGGAATGCCTAGAGGTTATTTTGGTTTTCTGTAATCCGGCATACAAGTGAGACTTCCTTGTAGTGACGTGTATAAGAAGAATACCCGAAATAAGAAGAATCTTCATTCATAATGGTGCCTTTAAGACTCCGAGTTGGTTGGGTGAATGTTGGGATGTGATATATCATGTAATAAACATATAGTGTGTATTTTCTTTTGAAAAAGGATGATTCATAATGTTGGATGGATAGCTCTACCAACAGTGAGGAGTTATTGGATTGTTGAACTTTGGGATTTTGTGTCAGATTAGGAGATGTTTTTAATAACTCTTCAGGAAAAGGAAGTCTTTTAGAATGATTGTTGCCTTATGAGAGGTCAGTTCTCTATTTAATTAATAACAGAGTATTTTTGTTCCCATTTTATTGGGGTCTTGTATTCCTCTCATGATTGATGTTTTGACATTCCCAATGGAGCAATAGCTTTTTTTTATGTGATTTCAGTGATTCACAATAAATTTGAGTAGAATATCTGACATATCCGAATTGTACTGGCATCTGCCTGAGGCTGAATTAGTTCCCTTTCCCAGTAGAACTCCAGTTTCCACCTTTGTTGAAATAGTTTCCTTTTCTTTTAAAAGTCCAGTTTCCATGGTAGCTGAATTAGTTTCCTTTCCTTTTCAAAGTCCAGTTTCCATGGTAGCTGAATTAGTTTCCTTTTCTTTTAAAAGTCCAGTTTCCATGGTAGCTGAATTAGTTTCCTTTCCTTTTAAAAGTCCAGTTTCCATGGTAGCTGAATAAGTTTCCTTTCCTTTTCAAAGTCCAGTTTCTACCTTTGCTGAATTAGTTTCCTTTTCCTATTGACAAATTAGTTTTCCTTGCTACACACCATGTTCTATCCAGAAGCCAGGCATACCCTGATATGGAAACTTGAGATTCATCTGCTGATTCAGGCAATGTATATTTTATGTCAAATTATATTTATAATACACTGGAAGTTTTGTTGAAATTACCACCATCGTGAAAAAAAATAGATTAAAAAAGAAAAATATTTTTGGACGTACATGTATATTTACTTTTCAATGTTTGTCTGGGTTTTTTTAAATTTGTTTATTAGCAATAACTGAAACAAGATCATTCTCACTACATTGCCCTTTGACTGATCCATGCATTAATTCTTTGCCTCAAGTATATCTGGACCATTGCCCTAATACTTACCTCAGCTAGATCGGTGTCAATCGTAATTATTTACAATCTGTTATCTTATAGCAAGAGTTCATTCTTTAAATAAATAACAAACAAACAAATATTACAGATAGCTGCCTGTAGAAGTACATAGTTGATATACTGTAGTTGTAAAAGTTACTTTGCAGCGTTCGAAATTAACGTCGGCCCTTAGGCACGAAGCTGACTGAAAACCACTCGGACCCACAGCTTTCTTGTTCTGCAGGTCCTTATGGCCGACAGCTTTTTCATCCCTACTAACTAAGAGTATTATTTTTCAGAAAATATCATTCAGTAATTTCTAGTTTTTATCTCGATCAGCAGCTGTTGTCTGTAAGTGAAACGACTATAATTTTCGAGGAAGCAATTTAGATTACAGACTTTTCAGAAGACTTGAATCTTGACATGGATGTTGAATTAGGAGATAAACCTACTGTGTGGGAAAATCAGAGGTATATAACGGAATTATAATAGCTCTAAATTTAATTTAAAACCGAACGCGTAGCGTGAGGTTTTAAATGAACAATTTAGAGCTATTATAATTTCGCTATATACCCTCTGATTTTCCAACACAGTAGGTTTATCTCCATTCTACCATGACAATTTTATGAACAATTTCAGGTGGAGCTCTTTCTTTGGTTACGAGTCAATACGTGAAGCGGCCTCGCATTCCAATCTCAAGTGGTATCGCCCGAAACGGGGTGTTTGGTGGCAAACCGTCGATGACTAACAAACTCCAGATTCGGTAATAACAAATCACGTTTTGTATTTTCAATGCATCAATCACCAATCATTAACTGATAAGTTGGAAAACATATATCAAATAAGTTTACAAAGCTTGGTTCACATTTGAAAATTCCACCGTAGACCCTTTCCCCACCAGAAAAGTGGTAGCAACCTCATGGCCTTGACCTTTTCTCGAAGTCATTGTTTACATTTACGTGCAAATTTGGAAAGATGCGACAGTTTGCGCAAGGTTAACCTGATTGTATGACTGAGATATTCTTTGATATCCAATTACTGGTACTGGAACAAAATTTAAGAGTAGGGGCGCTTTTGCTGTAACGAGAAGTCCGTGTTGTACCGAATTTAGAGATACTGTTGAATTTTGCGCCCTGTCAACTTGACGATTTCACGCACCTCCACGTCTGCTTGCGACAGCTGTGGTGACTCTTACACACTCATGTGTGTACTTTGTGCTCAAATTCGATTCTACGGATATTATGTTCTACTTTTTGGAAAGTGTTTTGTGACCTAGTGGCTTCAAAGTGTAGTGAATTCAAATTGAATCGGATTCGCTGGCATGTTCGCGAAGTCTGTTGACAAAGAGCCACATTTGTGGTGATATTTCGAAAAGGATGGATCAGGACACGAGGGTGTGCCTCTGGCATAAACACGTAAGGTAATTAATTATACTTTAATAGACTACTTTAGATCAAGCAGTGTAATGGATAAGAGGGATCATGACTAAGCTAAATAACTTTTTCAACGATATTATACATTTAGAAAAAAAATATGTTGGGCTAAACAGAACGGTTTGCAGATTCTGTAGATCTAATTGTGTTTTACTACCGCTAAATTTGAAACAGTACAAATTTCAAAATATCATTTTGTTTGAATTGATAACCCAACTGTTTATTTATGTGGACGGAAGGCATTAAAATTTCTTCGGCGTTCGATGTTAATGCATCCTCCGTTACCGGATCAAGATCAGTGGCGATATAGTTGACGAAAGCTGATAATAAATTTAACACGGAAATTTTGCAGCAGTCTATTGCTGGATCTATTCTGACATAACATAGAATCAACGTAAACAAATTTGTTTTTGCTGGATTTTTATTCGGAAAGCAGAAGATGTTTTGATCTTGTTCGACTGAATATTTGTTTCCATGCTTTCGAAGTACTTTTGTATGTATAAACACCTATTCCTGTGATTTACGCAAGTAGTGAGTCGAGCCCGTCATCGCTAAATCCATCTTTAAAGACATATGTGTAATTTCCGACAGTAAAATCGCCGTAATTTATCGATGCATCGGTAGGTTGTTTGGTGTCCGCCATGTTAGTGGGCAGACAAAAATAGTGCATTACCGTAAACCATGTATGATTGCGCACGGAAAACAGAGACCTGTATAACGTGATTATATACCTCTGAATGACTTTAATTAACCAATCACAATCCAGTGTTTACTGAAGTCATGGTAGAATGTGTTGTAAACGAATTCTAGTCAATCACTAGAGTTCAATTAAAGTCTTTAACTTAGTTTGTTAGTTTTCACATTTTTTGTTTGCTGGGAATTACTGATATTGTAGCTAAAATACAGGGCCTACACATTCTGATCAGGACCCACAACATCTTATGGTTGGGTCCCGTTTCACCAAGCTCTCGTAAGCCTAAGATCTCGTAACTTTTCTCGTAGCCATCATACCTCCTATACTGTAGCATAGACTTATGACGGTCGTAGTGCTACGATAGCTTTGTGAAACGGGACCCTGGATCCTCAGGGCCTGCAGCTTTTCAGGGTTAAGGGCAAATGCTGTTAATTTGGCCTCTTGTTAAAAAAATCATTGGACTTGCCTGATTGAATCTCTCTGTTTCTATGGTTATTACAGTTGTGTGTTCTTGCAATGCTGGAGTTATTGTAACCAGCAACAACATTGAGTAAGAGTGATGCAACATTCTTTGTACTCATGCCTGCATGCATTTATGAAAGTCCCTCAAGAATTCTACCTATGCAGGTGTTTAATACCAAGATGTATCACTGCTGATTTGTACTAAACAGCTTCCCTATATTCTGGTGCATGTGTTCAGGAGTAGTGTGATATTTTTACTTTGTTTTTGTTTATATTTTATGTGTTGTTTGATGAGCTGTTTCAGGTTTTCTTTTTAATTTAAGTCATTAAATTAATTTTAACAAGAAATGAATGTGAGAAATTTAGTGCTTATAACTCATCCTATTATGATTCACTCCTATATTCAATTAATTCAGCTGTATTCCCTCATGAATTCAATACATTAGTCATGGTCACTGGAATTGAATATTTGTGAATATTTTAAAAGCATTTTTTATTTGGAACTTGTCTGTTATATATCAACGTGAGAAATGTAAATTTTTAACTAATCCTGCACTACTTACTTCCTGCACTTATTGCTTACGGCTCAAAAAGCGTGGCTTGCCAGACGATGTCAAAAAGACATCTACTTACTCGTCTGCGCATGCGTCACCGGAAGGTGATGTCAGCCACCTCAGATTATTGCTTTTCTCACGCCTCATTAGACGTGTTGTTTGCCAGCTCAACTTGTATCCTACGGGATTATATTTTGTGAAGCATTAATAAAGACTGACTTTGTGTGTATTTTGTTTTTGTACCTCTACGAGAAGTGTAGGTATTATCTTTCACTTTCTCTTTTGTCATTCAGTAGTTCTGTGTAGTGATGTCGTTCGTTACACGGTCCCGTCATCACACTTTCACTTCGCCATTACAACACTTCGCCGTATTTGATAAGTCGTTGTGTTTCATTTGGTTCAGGCTTATATACTATACCATATAATGGTGGTATATTTATTGTGCCTGTATTATGGTCTCTTGAACCTTCAGTTGTTTTGAGACTTTTGTTCTCAACTTTGCTGTTATATTCATTACTTTGTATGTGCGTTTACTGGGTTTTCTGCTTTATTGCAGATCTATGTACAGCGCCAGTTGTATACATTGTAGGGGTGGGAAGTCTCGTAAAGACCCTCATCCCCGATGTTTGAATTGTACTACTCAATGTACCCCTGGCCATAAATGTGCCAGCTGCGCTGTGCTATCACCCAAGAGTTTCTCCGTTTATCTCCAGGTTTCTAAGAAGCGCCTGGGACAACAGAGACGAAAGAGTATGTCTACTACGTCGACGCAGGTCTTGACGACCACTTCGTCTACATCAAGTGTTGCAGCGTCCACTGTGTCAACGAGTGCTCCTGTCACCAGCATTCAGATGATGACTTCGCCGCTTATGTCACTGGGTGTTACAGCGTTTAGCGCTTCGGTGCTTGGAGCTTCGTCGTTGCTTGGACCGTCGGCGCCTGGCGCTTTGGCGCTTGGCGCTCCCTCAACTCCTACGCTGTTGCCGATGTCTCCACAAAAACCGATGGGCCAGCAGTTTGCGCCGTGTCAGACACCCCAGCCAGTGTTCCCGGGGCAGGCGTCTAATGCGTATCAACCACCTACGGGGTTTACAATGCCTCAGGCGTCTATGATGCAGACGCCATACGGCCACCAGCAGTTTGATGTGTCCACGCTCAGCACTCTCTTGACTTTACTATTAGGACAAGCCGGTACATCAGCGCCTATGCCGTTTATGCCACCAGCAACATCGGCGCCTCTCCCCTACGGCTTCCAGCCTCCAGCCACCTTTGCCACCTCCGACGATTACGGTACCACTGCCTCCTCCAGCATCGGTGCCCATCCTGTCGACTGTGTTCTGCTCCTGTGCCTACGCC